AAGTTGGGATGATTATTTCCCTGGCCAAAAGTTTTTCAAACAAAAACAAAACAAAAGGCACCACCCCATTCCCCTGTCACTCACTGTGGAGAGCATTAGTACAGTGAAAGGATCTGAGTGGGCTCCCAGACCCCACCCTATACAGCACATCTGGGCGCTTGGCATGTCCAGATACAGCTTTACAGGAGGCTGATGGGAAGATATGCAGGTACTAGGGGCTTCATCCACTTCACTTCTTTTCCCACCTTTGAAAAATCCATCAAGAGAAAAGACCAGCAAGAACACTTAAGAGTTTAAGCAGAGATGAAAATTCCCTTTCTCCAGATTTAATTCTATATATTTATAGATGTATAACTCTGGTCTCAGGAATGTCACAATTTCCAATGTTTGACTCTCATGAGGCTTTGCCTTCTACTGACTAAAAAGTGTTGCAGTCCAAACAAGAGAGAAAAGGCAACGGATATTAACTGACTTTCAAGCCCCAGGAGGAAGGAGATACTTCTTTTCATTCTTTCAAGATCTACCCCTTGGTGGAATTTTTTTTCTCATCATATCATAACTAATCAACGTAATTTAGCCACATTTCTCTGCACTTTATAATTTGTTTGGGGGGGGGGTAGAGATTATGAAACTCATCCAGTGATATTCACTGTCTTATGTTCATTGTGCACCTGCAGTGCCTATCTTTTGTCCTGCTGCCCTATCTCCTCAGATCTGGCACCCCTTCTTTTTGCCAAATGAAGGTCTCAACTCACACAACTGAAATATTCTTTCTTTGCTTAGCTGCTGGTTCTCATTCTTTGGCTTCCATCACTTTTTGCAGGGGGCTTCTGCATGGTGACTGGGTCAGCATCCCTGTTACGTGCACGCTGGCCACATCTAGCATACTCCTATCAGAATGTTCATCCTACTTAATGTAATTTTCTGTTCGACTTACCTTTCCTCCTCCACTGTGTGTTTTGGGGGTGCGAAAAGGGATGGGACTACCTCTCATTCATTATCCTCCTAGGCCTAGCACATAGCTGGAACTTGAAATGTACTTGTTGGAAGGATAAATTTACACACACAGAATAGTCACCAGTAATGTCCATTCTCATTCTGATAATGTATTATACACAGTGGTATCTGGACTAGGTTTCCCAACTGAAGACCCTAGAGCATCTTAAAATACTATGTAACTGTCACAGTGATTTTTCAAGAGTGGCACTGTGGGTGCCACTGAAAAAACTGAAGACAAATATTTGGGAAGGAGGCCTTATTGGTTCCATCTAGAGCAGTATAAGGTGTCCAGCTATAATGTAATCTTCACTTTTAAAGTTCTTTAAAGTCAGTTAGGACTGAAATAATTTACTATGTTTCTGTGAAATGTAGAACCAAATATATAGAAAAATGGGATTCTGATACTTTTTTACTTGAAAAACAATCCTTTTGGGGGAAAAGGTCCTTTGTACCCAAATGATCAGGGGTTAAAACCAACCCTGAAAATTATAATTTAAGGCTTTTGTCATTTGGAAACCTCTGGGGAATAGAAATGTTCTTATGTTGCCAAAGCAGAGATTTTCTTGCCCCAGAAAGCAGAGTAGAGAGTGACTGTCACAGTTTGAGGCATTCAAAGGTTTTCCACATATGTAAGAAAAGAAGATATAATACAGTGAATGAATGGGCTCTGGAGTGATCAAACCCGGGTTTCAAATTGGACTTTCTTCCTGAGCCTTACTTTCTTAAAATGTAAAATGGGGTAACAATAGTACCTTCCTCAAAGAGTTGTGATAAGGAATATTCATGAGATAATCCCTGTAAATCACTAAGTGTTGGGAGTTGACAAAGGCAAACATTACCTGAATAGGAGAAAATAGAGGAACAATGAGGCCTCTTTTATCTGTGCTAAGCTTTGTTGGCAGAGGGAAAAGAAATGGATCGCCTGTTGGCGAATTTATTGCTTTGTGGTAGTAGTGGATTTTCCTAAAGCTGTTTCCCCCTGATCATTAATAATCCCTGTACAGTAAAGGACTATTGTTCTTCAGATGAGTAAATAACCCTGTCGGAGGCCCTGCTTATCTTCAGACCACAGCGCAGACTTCTTACTGGAAATACAACATAGGTGCCAACACCAAAGGCATGACTAGGCTTCCCTTCCTATTTTTCTTCCTTTATCTCTTACTCCTTGCTTATCCTTCGGTGCAGTTTTCTCCTAGAACTGTTATACTCCCTACTTTCTGGTGTACACCCATATCTTAAAACAGCATCATCCTTACTTACCAAAATCGAATAACCTTCAAGCTTAACTGTGCCCCGTACATCTTTGTCTTCTGTCCTCTCCATCGATCAACACATGCAAACACCCACACACACTATGGGCTTATTGTTTCCTGTCCTGGATTAAGTTTTTGGTTACTAGAATCCAAAACGGGAAGTGTAATGCCACACATTGTTTTGCAAATCTCAGGATATGCATGTGTGGTCTACTCAATCATACCACAGCTATTCTCTGAAATTGCTCTTTTTACACAGAAAATTACAATATGGTGTGTCAGAGATAGGGGGCAAGGAGGAGAACGTAGATTGTGTTTTTATTTAAAGGAAAATTGTTAGGCCTTACAACACGGGAATCTTCAGAACACAGGGAAAAATTAAAAATACTGATGCCTGAAAGACTTCTAAATTACTCTAAATAAAGATCATATGAGGTAAGAATACTCCTAAATATGCCAGTACAGAAGCACACACACGATTATACTTTTAAGGGGATATCCAATCAGGCTCTTGTAACCAAAATATACAGCTCATTCCCCCTGAGGGATAGAAATTTAAATGGAAACCAAGTTTCAGTCCCTAAATTCAAAAGAAGTATTCCTTATCCACATATTTTAAGAGACAAAGACAAGGTAAGGGTCAGAGGTAGTTAAGAACCAGTTAACACAAGTAGGAGTTGGTGTTAGAGTGTGTAGGTGGGAGTGTGTGTGTTGTAAATAGATGAAAATTAGGTCAAAGGTAAAGATCAATGCCAGTCACTCATTCATAATCACCCAGGATTTCCACCATTCATAGGAACTAGGGAGGCTGGAGAACACAAAACACATTTAAATTTACATTTAAATCCCTCCTTTGTGTTAACAGCCTCCGGAATTGAATTAGGAAAATGCAAAAGGGCTTTGGTTGTAAGGTTAGACATAGCTGGAGCTTTCTAACACCTGATCCTTGATCCAACCATTGGAAAAATAACCTCACTTTTCAAAAAGAGACCCTGCTTTGTGGCCATTTCCAAGTACCCTCCAACTACCAAATAACTATCCAACAAGCTACTTTTCTCATCTGCAGAGGACTGGAGCTCCTTACTAGACAGAGTTCCTTAAGAGCAGAAGCAATGATCATCCATTTTTATGTATGTGGAAGGATTAGCACCCAGACTACCTTCAAGTTCCTCCAATCCTGTGCTGACCAATAAAGAGAATATTCTTCACTGTTGGAAATATTCTGTATCTGTGCTGTCAACAAGGTAGCCACGGGACACATGTAGCTTTTTGGTCACCTAAAATATGATTAGTCATCTGAGGAACTGCATTTTACATTTTACTTAAATAGCTACATGTAGCTAGTGGCTACATTTGGTCAGCACAGCTCTAGACCAAGAATTGCAAATCATATGCCCAAAAGGGTCAGGCAGGTAGTGGGACAGACCTTTTGCGAACTTGAGAACTGAACCACATACAAAGGCAGAAGCAGCTCATTGGCTCCAGCAAACTGCTGCTGTGTAGGAACCTCAGGCTGGTGTTGCCAGATTGTCTCATTTTTCACAAGAAGCTGAAAATCTGGATTTCCATGTCTAATTTTTAAATGTTGGCATGTAAATTTTACAAAGAATTTAAATTATTTTGTGGGCCGAACATTATGTTTACACACAATATCTGCCTTGCCAGTTTGTAGCCTCTAATCTAGGCCAACCCCTTCAGCTCAAATAAAAGAGCTAATGATCTGCTGATCATTAGCAGATCCAAGATTGAAACCTGTATGTTTTGATTCTTCTTCTGACTCCCTTTCTAGATTTTAACCAAATCTAGATTGTGGTGGCAGTGGCAGCAGCAGGGCCAAAAAAGCTCCTTTGTCAGAAGCTGTTGAAGTCCATGGCTGATATCTTATGAACACACTGCTCCTGCCTAGCGATAACCGCATGGTGAGTCCTTTGGGAAAGAAGCCAGGACAGAAAGAAGATAAAGTCTACAGGGAAGTCAAACATATACACAATTAACAAAGTCAGGCTTGCCACAATGGACACAAACCACCTGTGTACAAGTGCAAAATCATTGACAGCTGGGAGATGAAGGGAGGGAAGAGATTTGAGACAGGCCTTAGAGGATGAGTAAAAGCTGGCTAGTGGGTGGATGAATCTCACTGATTACAGAAGACTCATATAGTATATTGAGTAAGCCTCCTTTTATTTTGAGGCCTTATCTGTGTCAAGAGTCTCCTTAGCTGGCTTCTTCTCTGGGTAATCACTAAATGTACGGCGCTCTAAGGAGTTTAGGGGCCTTTCTTTTTATCTATACCCTCTTCTAGGTGATCTAGGAATAAAGCTCTGCATTTATTATCTCTATGGATTTTCCCCTGACTTGCCTATCTAACTTCTTGACATCTTTGCCTGGATGATTAATAGACTTATCAAGCCTAGTTCAAAGCAAAACTTACGATATTATTTATGGTATTTGAGATATTCCCTTCCAAATTGTTTCCTCTTGGGAGTCATCCTTGGGATATCCTTTTCCCATATGCTTCACTTCCAATCTGGCAGCAAATCTTGCAAGCGCTACTTCCAAAATACATTCTGAATTAAATTTTCTTTCCACTGTGGCCTCTCCCTTAGTCTGCTGCAACAGACTCCTAACAGGTCTGACAACTTCTACCCTTCTCCTTCCAGCAGCCAAGGGTGATTTTTAAAAAATGTAAATCAGATCAGGTCACTCCCCTTCTTAAAACCCTCCGTAAAGTGAGAGACAAACCCTTACCTTGGACTACAAGGCTCTGCTTGATCAGGCCCTGACACTTCTCCATCACAGACCACTCTGGCCCTTGTTCTTTCTGCTCCAGTCACCTGGCCTTCTCGCTGTTTCCTTCCTGAGAACCCTTCCTTGTTGGCTTTTCTCCACCTAGAAAGTTCATTTCCTAGCTTCCCTCTTTCCTCCTGTCTCCCCAAACCCGACCTCCTCTCAACAGCCTTATTTGATTTATAGTGGCGCTCCCCCAGTCTTCTACCACTTCACCCGGAATTACTGCCTTTGGGGGGACACTTCTCACTTGCTGATTATCTTCCTTACTGATTTACTTTTTAATTTTCTCCTGGATGCGAATACAAAGTCACGGTGCAAGGTCTCTCTGACTTGTTCTCAAAAAAGTTTGTGGACTGAAGGAATTAAGAAGCTGGTTCTCACCACCCTAAAATGTCTCCGTAACCTGTACGGGGCCTTGTTAGGGTCAGCTTTCCCCAGCGAGACGCCTCTGGCACCCCTGCAATCGTCCCTACTGATCTCCCACTTACAATTAGGGATCCAAAGGATTCAGAAATATCTCAGAAGGACCCCAAACCGGCATCTCAGCGTCCCCAAGCCAGGCCTCCCCTTCCTGGCTGTCGGGCAGTTTCCCTTGGCAGGTTCCCGAGGCCAGTGGCGAAGACACAGAGGTGCCTTCGCGATGCCAGGGTCGCACAAGCACATCTCCCAGCAACGTTGCACCCACCACCCCATCCCTGACCCTGGGGAGCCAACCCCTTCCCCCCAGTCTCCCGCGCCAGGAGTCAGCGTCTCCATCCCCTACACTCACTCTGCGTCAGTTTTGCCTTCCCCACCCACAAAAGAGCCGCAGCCTTTGACGACCTGAGAGGAGGCGGCGCCCGCAGCCCCGCTGAGCCGAGGCACGCCGAGCTCGGGCAGGTCGGGTAAGCCAGGCCGGACCAAACCACCGATCAGATCTGTGGGAGCATTAGTTCCAGGTCGGGGGTAGTCTCGAGCCTCCACTAAACTTCAAAATCTAGCCCACCCTCCGCCGTACCCAACAATATAGCCAACTTCATCCTTTCCCTCTTTTCTCTTTACCCCTTTCGTTATCTTTTCTCCCCTATTCCAGTCAAAAAATGGTCCAGTCCAGCTCCTCTTAGCCCTCCCTCCCCGTCGCTAGGTCTTTGCCCTTACTTGGCAACGGCCTCCGTACGTCTTTGCGTACGTCGTGACGCAATTTTTCGCCCGTTCCCTCCTCGTCCCTCTCTAATTCTCCCCCTAGAGCGGGAGACCTGCGGGGTTACCGGAAGTGATGATGCAGGAGGCGATGGGGGGGCGGGGCTTCGGGGCGGCAGCCGCCGGTGGGCCGCAGATGAAGAGGCGGTGGCGGCAGTGGTGGAAGAAGAGGCGGCGGCGGCGGCGGCGGCGGCGGCGGGGGTAGGGAGCTTGGAAACGCGAGCGGGGATGGTAGGTGGTTTGGACCCGCCGGGCCGCCGTCGTTTCCAGAAAGGGTTTGACTGGAAAAACCTCTGGAGCAGCTGTGAGTTTGGGGGGGGTGAGGAAAAGGGGGGAGCTTTGAGAGATGAAGGGGCGGGTGTTGGGTGCCTTCGAGAAAGAGGGGGTGGAAGGGGAGGAGTGGAAACCAGCGCCTTGTCTGGACTGGTCCCCCTGGAAGAAGAGGCTGTGTGGTGAGCTTGTGGCGTGTCAGCTGCAGGGCTCAGAAAACTTACCTACTGTCCCTGTCTCCCCGCCGCCAGTACCCTTCAACCCAGAGCTGCCCTGGACGGGGTGCAGACTCTGGTCCTCTGTCCCGGGTAAGCCCTGTGAGGTAGGAGCCTAAGCGGGAGGTGGGGGGTGAATCTCTAGCTTCCTTCGCCCTCATGTCCCTCCCTACCCCCGTCCTTCTCTTTAATCATTAACAGCCCTGGAATTAAGGGGCTCAGACCTGAAGGCCTTTGTATGCACCTTTGCTGTAAAGGATAGCCAGCCATCTGTGCCTGAGGTAATGGAGCTGGAGGGTTTGCCTGTGTCCTGTATAGGAAGTGGGACGGGTTGGCAAATGTATCGCTTTTTTCCATTCCCCCTCACCCCTCATCCTCCCCCACAAACATCCCTATTTTCCACTTTAATTCATTGTGGCTAGGTGGTGATCGTGGTTGTGTGTGTGTGTTTTCTTTATGGCACTTGGTACCTTGGTTACTTCTTTTGAATTTGGTGTTCAGCCTCTATCCCGTTCAGCAGCAAGCTTTATAATACTTCAGTTAGAGGCTGTGTCACTTTTGGAGTACCTCTCAATACCTGGGAGCTCCCAATCAAGGTGAGCATTTTCTCTTGTGAATACTGGCATTCCAAAGCCCTTGCAAGGATTCCTAAATGGCATCATAGCCCAGGAATCAAAGCCTCTTGTTCGACATACTTTATGTGTGAGGAATTTGCATGTTGTCAACTCTCTCCAAAATGATTTGATGTTAAGCTAATTCTGGATTTCTGTGTTTCTCTCCACCCACACTTTATGATGCACTTCAGAGAACAGAAAACCCCACACTACTTTCTTGTTTCTATGATTGGACAATAGCTCTTCTATCTTTTTCTCCATTTGTGTCTGGCACATAAGTCTTCAGTGACACAGTCAGCTTGTGCTGACTTTATTTGGTTGATTCTTTGTGTATAGGTGGTCTTAAATTAGAAAATGTGATCTCTTTAGTTTTGTTTTAAAGAAGAATACAAACCAATAGCAGATGTGAAAAAATTATTTGAAGAAAACAAAGAATTATTGGAAAGAAGATCTCTTTGTTGATATTCTATTGGTTAAAAATCACCAAGTTGCTTTTGCTCCTTTATCCTGTCTTTAGGGATTTCATACTGAAGTATAATAATTCCTATTTGGTGTTGATATTTCCTTTGGAAATCCTCTATTGAATGTGGAACTGTGTTTTCGAAGAACGTTAAGAGAGAGTACATAAATTTCAGGGATCCGTTGATTAGAAAGTGTTCATGAATCCTGATTCTTTGTAACTGAGTTAGTATGCATATTGCTAGAAAAATTATAACAGGTCCCATCCTACTCATCAGGGCTTTCAGGCCTGATGAAACAGAATATTTAATGCTTTGATTATACAAGTAACACCATGTTTAGATGTTTCACAGAAATGCAATAAAAGAAAACTGACTTGTTCTCACTTTAATTGATTGAGAACCATTGAATAAAGTGCAAAATTAATCCGTTCAACAAGGCATTTTATTGGCTGGGTATTAAGTACTGGCCAGTGTTCCAGGCACTGGGTGTACAAAGGTGAACACAGCAGTAAGGTCCACACTCTCATGGAGCTTACATTGGAGTTGGGGGGTGGGGACAGATAATAAATAAGCCCAATGAGATTTTGATGAGTGCCAAAGAAAATAAGAGTGATATGATAGAAAGTGTCTGATTAGGGTGCAGTCTTGAAGAAGGACCTTTTTGAAGAGGTGACACTTAAGATGAGATTTAAATAAAAAGGACCCCGCCAAGCAAAGATAGGGGAGGATCCTTCCTGGTTCAGGGACTAGCTAGTGCAGAAACTGGCTGGGATGACCTTGGCAAATTCCAGGGCCTGGAAGAAGGGTGTGGTGGAGAAGGGTAGGAAGGTTAGGGTGAGAGGGGGTTCAGGGAGCATGCGGGGAGGGGAGGCAGTAAGAGCCAGAGCCTAGTGAGCGAAGGGGAGAATCAAGAGTCTAGGTCAGAAAGGTGGAGGCCAGGCTCAGAATAATAAGTAGGCAAAGTAAGAGCAAAAAGAAGGAAATAGAAACTGATGCTTCCTTTTGATTAATTCTGTTGCCCTCTCTAGAGTTGTATCAATTAATATTTTGCAGGTACTGTTAGACTATTGTAATAAAAAAAAGTTACTCTGTTGAGTGGGAGAGGAGGCCACTGTGGTCACCTGGGTCTTTTCTGGCAGATAAATCTCAAGCTAGTTCAGAATTCAGCAGGATGTTCAACTGAGACCATGCCTTTTTCCTTACAGGATTTTACCTTACATGCTGCTATTTAAAATTGCATAATGAGTATCCTGAACATGTTCTAGTACATGAGTCCTCTTTTGTTTCCAGCTGTGTATGAATTTAGGGTTGAAGGTTGAGCAAGTGATAATGGTATGCCCCTGTTGATCTGCAAAGATGACCATTGGGATTCAAGTTTGATGTTTTTTGTAGAGAGGCAGGTTTTATATTGCAATATATTTCCACTCTTGTCTGGTCCACCTGATGACTGATAACACTCAGCTGAGGTATAGGTCGGTGCTAAAAGTTCACTCAGTGGGATTACATTAGGTAAATGACCATTGTGGGCCCAGTCCCACTATGTCAGCATCTTTGGGCTAGCAGTAGCCAAAGGATGTAACCTACTTTTTTGCCTTCTGTTGGGGCTACTCATCTCCAGTAGTCAGCTGCTTTTCAGCCTCACCTTGACCATATTGTCCACTTATGAGGCCCAGTCAGGACCCCTCAACTTGGCCCTCTTGAACCATGTCATGGTGGACTGAAACAGAAAGAATATGTTGTTTTCTTCTTTTGAATCCCACAACAGTGACTAGTGTGTTCTTTGAGTGAATTGGCCCTTTGAGCCAGGCAGTTGGGAGACTTCAATGTTGCTTGGGCTATTTGTAGTAAATTCAGTATTGGAAATGCTAAATAAATCCTTTTAGTGTTTGGGAAAAATGAGTTGGAAATTGAGGACTTGTCACCTGTTGTAGGTTTTATTTCTTTAGTAGTATGGGTGATGGATTGTCAGAACTAACCTGAATGGCATTTCCTGGGCAGTCCTGGGGGTAATGAAGAGGATAGAGTAGAGCCTTGTACCGAATTTCTGAATTCCAACTTAAGTGAAAAGTTTTTAATTAGCAATCAAGTGACCAAAGTGAACAGCCAGGACCAGACAACCAATAGATCCCACTTTCCATACTGCAAAGTAACTCAAAGGAATGGAGAATTGATAGTGATATATGAGTATTTGTCTTTGGCCTTGGTTAAAGTATTTTGGGCTTTGCATCCTAATGCTGGGCTTCCAATGCGTTAGCCAATGGTTTATTAATCTATCAACTATTTATCTTCATTTCAGTGGTTTATTATAACTCAAGTATGAAAATATCCTGTAGGCTGAAATTTCATCAGCCAGTTTGGAGACTGGTGGCTCTCTTCTAATTTCTGAAAGGGGGTGGATGGGTAGGAGGGGACTTGAACACAGGGAGAAGTCATTGACTCCTACGTTGGCCACTAACTGTGTTTGGGGAAAGAATCTGCAAATCTAAATGCATTGGGATTCTTGGACCTGAATAGGCCTTTTAATTGAGGGCACCAGTGGATTTGTTTCTTAAACTTTGGGGGCTTTTTGGAAGGTGGGCAACCTGGAAGGTCAGTTGGTTCTTCTTACCATGGGGTTGTGGGTGTTTTGTATTGCATCTGATGACTTAATTTGATTTTGCTGTTTTGATACCTCTGCTGCAGTAAAGAGAATTGATTGTACACTGGCTGCCATTTGTTTGGAGGTGAAGACATGAAAACTTAGATTGAAACAATGGTAATTGTGTGGTAACTCCTGTTTCCCCGGCTCTTGATAATTTACAGTTACCACTTTGTGTCTATTTACAGATGTTGGTACTAGTGAACCAGAATCAATTCTCCTTAAATCTTGGGAGTGTTCTGAAGGTCTTTGCACAGTGGACCAAGATATTTAATTGAGTTAATGTCTTTCAAATCTAGTTTCACTAGTTCTTGTCTGTTTTTCTAGGTGATGGAAGATCCTGTTTCTTTAGGGGGAACAAAGAGATCACCACGGCACCTGACCATTTAATCAGTGAATGACTACAGACTAGAATTCCACATACTAATTTAGTGGAAGAATGAGAGAAAAGGTTAGAAGTGGCTCAAACTGTCATTTTTTCAAGTTGTGATATGCTGAAAGGAGAAAATGGGAGGGGGA